GGCTGGACCTTGAGTTATATCTTGGACTAGCCCGTCTACATTGGAGCCCCAGTGAAGAATTGAATTGATGTTCGTCTACTGGACTCAGAGCGCCATTACCTGATGACAGGTGTGTAAGTATAAGAGCAAGTTCAAGACACAGACCAAGATTTGAGGCTTGATCTCGTATTCAGACGATACAGTCTTCCACTGAACCACAAGGTCAAGCTACAGAGGCTATTGTACACATTGTTTACGACCGAGATGAAATGAAGCAAGGTTAAGATTAAACCAGCATAAAGCGACACAAAGACATGAATTATACATGGAATGCTTGTAATTAGGCTGAGGAAATACGTTGTGTGCCAACTGCAGGTGAAGACGGGTCTACAGTGGGTAATGTCGTGTATTGGAGAGGTATTTACATGTTCAATTGATTCGAAGATCCACAATACAACAGCAAGAACCTTGCAATACTTAAATTTGCCTGTTGGCCATCAGGGCAATCAGGGCCTGCAGGCTTTCAAATCTACAGGTCGTGAATGAAATCTGCAGGCCCATTTTGTTAAAGTCAAACCAATAAAAACACTAAAGACTACACTGTACACAGTTTCACACTGTTTCTACAAAGTCAACTAGCCAAGCCTGTGGCGCAGAGAGACGTTTTTATTTGTTAAAGACTGATGTTGACATTCCTATGCACAATGCGCTGAAATAACAGGAAGCGAAACCATAAGTTATCGTAACATGACGGATCATGGGTGATTCCCAAACGTTAATAAAGAAAAAAGCAAGGGAAAGATTCCGGTTGAAAAGAAGACAAATAATTTACTGAAGGCCACAAAGGCCTGCCAATATTTGAAACTGCCGGCCCGATACAATAACAACCGGCGCTGGGCCTGCGGGCCGGCGATTATTTCGAACTTTGACTGTAATTCAACAGGAACATGTCGACAGTCTATCTTCAATAAATGACAGGATGACCGACATGCTTTGATTCAACATTCTAATTCAACTTAGTATGTAACATGAGTTCTGATTGGTCAATGCTATAAATTTCCGACCGTATAATCAGCATATACGGTCGCAATTTGAAAACCGATTCACCGAAACCTTTGAATGTATCGATCCCTACACTATTGGGGTAACGCTGTTTCGCAGGACATTGTCATTTGCAGAAGCCATTGGTCAATTAACTCCCCTATCCAGCTAAAATGGGTGGAATTTGTGTTAAAAAAGACAAAACAGTATCATAAATTTAATTTTAAGTTCAAACAACTTACTCGCAACGGGTTGTTGACCCAACACTGTTAGATCATGAAACAAGGTTTATGACGTCATTATGGAGCGTGACGTCACCTGCTATGACGTCATTTGACAACAGAACTGATAATGGCCCGTAGTTGAGGAATCAGCGGGCCACTCATTTCTGTAACTAGAGGGCGGTTTCATCATAATACCGTCCATTTTATCTATAATACTATGATCTATTCATCATTGTCAAATTTAGTCTGTGTGCACATAATAAACGTGTGCAGTTTGAAAAGGGAACTACTTTCTCTGGCGATGGTGTAAGTTGAAGGAGTGATATGATTAACCTTTGACCTAGAGGAACTTTGACCTGGTTTAAATAATGAATTTCTTTCACGAAAAACAGCGTAAAACGAGTTGAATTAGAATTAGATATTCTGTACTGTGTTTGACGATGGGGACGTATACCGGTGGTTATATAGCCTCAAATTCCAGTTATATCGGCGACGCGTACAAATACGCGTCGCCGATATAACTAAATTTGAGGCTATATAACCACCGGTATACGTCCCCAATTCGTCAAACACAGTACAGTTATCCCCTAAATCATTTACCGATGCAGAGATTATACTTAAACAATGATATGATGACCACAAAGCGTTGGTTTAACAATCCCATGATGTCATGAAGTTCCGAAAAACAGTCATAACAGGTCATGAGGTTTGGTTAATCAATCAGATGACGTCATGAGGTTTGGTTAAACAATCAGATGACGTCATGAGGTTTGGTTAAACAATCGCATGATGTGCGAAGGTTTAAATCGTATAATCGTATAGCCTTACAAACTTCACGGCTTATATTAAACATCCCGGCGAGAGAAATTTCAGTTAACCAGCTGCACCATGTCATGCCACACAGGATTCCGTTCCAACCACATGCCGTTATATCTGGACGTCTATACAATCTCTATAATCTACAGCAGTTGGACACATCCCTGTTCTGTATTCTGTACAATCTACATCACCTGAACAAATCAGTTCACTGCAATCTCTTCCAAGCAAGGTCAGCTTGACATGGACCATGCTGACAAAGATAGAGATTGTCTGTGGGATTAGTTCATAAAGTGTTCCACATTTGCATGTGTTTCGTTACCGTTGCTTATCAAATCATGTTCACCTGTCTGTTTAGGTTCTCTGAGTTTCAATGCGTTTTTGACGGATGTCACTGGCGTGTAGCATACCTTTAGGTCATGACACCTTGTATCACCTCTAACAGATCGTTATTCAGAAACAGCATAGCTTTTAGGTCTTGACACCTAGTATCACCTCTAACAGATCGTTATTCAGAAACAGCATACCTTTAGGTCTTGACACCTAGTACCTCCTCTAACAGATCGTGACTCAGAAACATCATAGCTTCAGGTCTTGACACCTTGTATCACCTCTAACAGATCGTGATTCAGAAACATCATAGCTTCAGGTCTTGACATCTAGTATCACCTCTAACAGATCGTGATTCAGAAACAGCATAGCTTTAGGTCTTGACACCTGGTATCACCTCTAACAGATCGTGACTCAGAAACAGCATAGCTTTAGGTCTTGACACCTTGTATCACCTCTAACAGATCGTGACTCAGAAACAGCATAGCTTTAGGTCTTGACACCTGGTATCACCTCTAACAGATCGTTATTCAGAAACAGCATAGCTTTAGGTCTTGACACCTAGTATCACCTCTAACAGATCGTGACTCAGAAACAGCATAGCTTTAGGTCTTGACACCTTGTACCTCCTCTACCAGATCGTGACTCAGAAACAGCATAGCTTTAGGTCTTGACACCTGGTATCACCTCTAACAGATCGTGACTCAGAAACAGCATAGCTTTAGGTCTTGACACCTTGTATCACCTCTAACAGATCGTGACTCAGAAACAGCATAGCTTTAGGTCTTGACACCTTGTATCACCTCTAACAGATCGTGACTCAGAAACAGCATACCTTTAGGTCTTGACACCTAGTATCACCTCTAACAGATCGTGACTCAGAAACAGCATAGCTTTAGGTCTTGACACCTTGTACCTCCTCTACCAGATCGTGACTCAGAAACAGCATAGCTTTAGGTCTTGACACCTTGTACCTCCTCTACCAGATCGTGACTCAGAAACAGCATAGCTTTAGGTCTTGACACCTTGTACCTCCTCTACCAGATCGTGACTCAGAAACACCATAGCTTTAGGTCTTGACACCTTGTACCTCCTCTACCAGATCGTGACTCAGAAACAGCATAGCTTTAGGTCTTGACACCTGGTATCACCTCTAACAGATCGTGACTCAAAAACAGCTTGGTTTTTTTGCAATAGCCGTTGGGACTAGTGTGCTTCACTGTAATAATGTGCCCCACATTAAACATCTGTGTTAAGTGTGTCCGAGGGCGGTTGACTGAAAGGATGTAATAGAAGTATCTACCACACTGAACCCCATGTTTGCTCTGTATGTTTACACCCATACTTGAAGCCTGAATATATTCCATCTCTTGTCGTGTTTGCCATATGACCTCAAATGCAAGTGACGTCCCATTAGCTAAAGACCACGGGCTGAATATTTCATACACCACTTAACGTAATGAAAGTCGGATTAACAAACATAAAAACAACAGTTCCTGGTCATTTGCAGGTATATTGACAACACACTGGCGGCTCTACGGCCATGAGTGAGTGAGTGAGTAGGTTTTGGTGGGTGGGTGGGTGGGTGAGGAGGAGTGAGTGAGTGAGTGGGTGGGTGGGTGGGTGGGTGGTGGTGGAGGAGTGAGTGAGTGAGGAGTGGGTGGGTGGGTGGGTGGGTGGGTGGTGGGAGTGGTGGGAGTGAGTGGTGGGTGGGTGAGGGAGTGAGTGAGTGGGTGAGTGGGTGGGTGGGTGGGTGGGTGGGTGAGTGAGTGAGGGTGGGTGGAGTGGGTGGGTGGGTGGGTGGGTGGAGTGAGGAGTGAGTGGTGGGTGGGTGAGTGAGTGAGTGGTGAGTGAGTGGAGTGAGTGGGTGGGTGGGTGAGTGAGTGAGTGAGTGAGTGAGTGAGGAGTGAGGTGGGGTGGGTGGGTGGGTGGGTGGGTGGAGGAGGAGGAGTGAGTGAGGAGTGAGTGAGTGAGTGAGTGAGTGAGTGAGTGTGAGTGAGTGAGTGAGTGAGTGAGTGAGTGAGTGAGTGAGTGGGTGGGTGGGTGTGTGAGTGAGTGAGTGACAGATGGCAGAAACAGCTGGTCAGTGATACCCTGCCGAATAATCAAATTTGTACATTAAGTTTGGTCTTGTTTGTTGTTTAGCGGTGCACACAACTGTATCCCCGCTTTTCCCGCGAATAATAGAGTAACATTCCAGCTTGTGCATTCAGATGATATAACTGAAATACTCTTTAAATACATAAAAATTCATGGTCGCCATTGTGATTGTATCCAGGGTCGGAGAGGAAATAAAACTTGTGTATAACAACGGTGCTGTTACCACAAGGCTAAGCCACCCCAACCCCACTTCTCAACCCTACCTCTCACCGCCTCCCCGCATAGATAGGGAAGTTCGTCCACGGCTTATCACTAGAGGTAACAGGCCTTGACTGAAGAATCACAATAAATAACCCTACCCCACATGGTCTAGATTTGATCAAACGATGGGCTTGTATTTATCGAATGAACACATCCGTCTTAGGACCGACAATAGGCTGAGGTGTATGAGATACATGATAGCGTCACTATAGAAGTATAAACAAACTTTTACAATCAAATCAGTCTTACCTCGACACAGCGTCACATCGTCGCCCTTCTCTCGCCCACGATGTGAGATCATTTCCTGGTTCCAAAAGATAAAGCGGACATGACAGCCCATCCATATCGTGCGACTTACTCTGACATACAGATCTCACAGCAGGGGACACAACTGACGTAGGCGTGCATGCTCTGTTACATGTCGTTGTGGTCTGCACAATGTAACGCCGAACTCAGAAAGAGAGAGAGAGAGTTAAGAACGGAAGAACAGGATTATTTGATCGTTTATAGAACACAGTGTTGACTCTGTGTTGGGCAATGGATTATTTTAGATTTAATGCTTGAACTTGGGTGTTGAGTCACGTATTCAGGTTACGATAGGTGCGCTGGGCGGTCCATTGTATTGCACTACCGTAATTACTGTTATCAGGGATCGTGATATATAGTACGACCAGAAATTATTGAGAATTGTAGGAATATGTTTAATTGGATTTCTAGTATAAACAACCTTGACCAGCTATCAAGTGCTTGGTTTTTGTATGTGCGGCTGCTTGTACAGTCAGCTGCCACGCCGTGATGTCGTACAGTCAGCTGTCACGCCGTGATGTCGTACAGTAGGCTGTCACGCCGTGATGTCGTACAGTCAGCTGCCACGCCGTGATGTCGTACAGTCGGCTGCCACGCCGTGATGTCGTACAGACAGCTGTCACGTCGTGATGTCGTACAGTCAGCTGTCCCGTCGTGATTTCGTACAGTCGGCTGCCATATAGTGATGTCGTACAGTAGGCTGTCACGCCGTGATGTCGTACAGTCGGCTGTCACGTCGTGATGTCGTACAGTCGGCTGCCATGTTGTGATGTCGTACAGTCAGCTGCCATATAGTGATGTCGTACAGTCAGCTGCCATGTTGTGATGTCGTACAGTCAGCTGCCATATAGTGATGTCGTACAGTCAGCTGCCACGCCGTGATGTCGTACAGTCGGCTGTCACGCCGTGATGTCGTACAGTCGACTGCCACGTTGTGATGTCGTACAGTCAGCTGCCATATAGTGATGTCGTACAGTCAGCTGTCACGCCGTGATGTCGTACAGTCGGCTGCCACGTCGTGATGTCGTACAGTCAGCTGTCACGTCGTGATGTCGTACAGTCGGCTGTCACGCCGTGATGTCGTACAGTCGACTGCCACGTTGTGATGTCGTACAGTCAGCTGCCATATAGTGATGTCGTACAGTCAGCTGCCATATAGTGATGTCGTACAGTCGGATGTCACGCCGTGATGTCGTACAGTCGGCTGCCATGTTGTGATGTCGTACAGTCAGCTGCCATATAGTGATGTCGTACAGTCAGCTGCCACGCCGTGATGTCGTACAGTCGGCTGTCACGCCGTGATGTCGTACAGTCGACTGCCACGTTGTGATGTCGTACAGTCAGCTGCCATATAGTGATGTCGTACAGTCAGCTGCTACGCCGTGATGTCGTACAGTCAGCTGTCACGTCGTGATGTCGTAAAGTTGGCTGTCACGTCGTGATGTCGTACAATCAGCTGCCATATAGTGATGTCGTACAGTCAGCTGCTACGCCGTGATGTCGTACCGTCGGCTGCCATATAGTGATGTCGTACAGTCAGCTGCTACGCCGTGATGTCGTACCGTCGGCTGCGACGCCGTGATGTCGTACAGTCGGCTGCCACGCCGTGATGTCGTACAGTCGGCTGCCACGCCGTGATGTCGTACAGTCAGCTGTCACGCCGTGATGTCGTACAGTCAGCTGCCATATAGTGATGTCGTACAGTCAGCTGCCACGCCGTGATGTCGTACAGTCGGCTGCCACGTCGTGATGTCGTACAGTCAGCTGCCACGCCGTGATGTCGTACAGTCAGCTGCCACTCCGTGATGTCGTACAGTCAACTGCCACGCCGTATTACCGTGTCATATGGCCAGTATCACTGTACCATATGACCAGTATCACTGTATCATATGGCCAGTAATGCTGTATTATATGACCAGTATTACTGTATTATATGACCAGTATTACTGTATTATATGACTAGTATCACTGTATCATATGACCAGTATCACTGTATCATATGGCCAGTATTACTGTATCATATGGCCAGTATTACTGTATTATATGACCAGTATTACTGTATTATATGACCAGTATCACTGTATCATATGGCCAGTATTACTGTATCATATGACCAGTATTACTGTATCATATGGCCAGTATTACTGTATCATATGACCAGTATTACTGTATCATATGGCCAGTATTACTGTATCATATGACCAGTATTACCGTATTATATGACCAGTATACTGTATTATATGGCCAGTAATACTGTATTATATGACCAGTATTACTGTATTATATGACCAGTATACTGTATCATATGTATATATATGACCAGTATGACCAGTATCATATGACCAGTATTACCATCCTATATGGCCAGTAATACTGTAATCATACCAGTATGACCAGCATTACCGTAATCATATGTATTACTGTATCATATGACCAGTATCACTGTATCATATGACCAGTATTACTGTATCATATGGCCAGTATTACTGTATCATATGACCAGTATTACTGTATCATATGACCAGTATTACTGTATCATATGACCAGTATTACTGTATCATATGACCAGTATTACTGTATCATATGGCCAGTAATACTGTATCATATGACCACTGTATATATACTGTATCATGTATCATATGACCAGTATCACTGTATCATATGACCAGTATCACTGTATCATATGGCCAGTATTACTGTATCATATGGCCAGTATTACTGTATCATATGGCCAGTATTACTGTATCATATGGCCAGTATTACTGTATCATATGGCCAGTATTACTGTATCATATGACCAGTATTACTGTATCATATGACCAGTATCATCATATCATATGACATATGGCCAGTACTGTATCATATGGCCAGTACTGTATCACCAGTATCACTGTGCCATATGGCCAGTATTACTGTATCATATGGCCATCATATGGCCATATGGCCAGTATTACTGTATCATATGGCCAGTATTATGTATCATATGGCCAGTATCATATGGCCAGTATTACTGTATCATATGGCCAGTATTACTGTATCATATGGCCAGTATTACTGTATCATATGGCCAGTATTACTGTATCATATGGCCAGTATTACTGTATCATATGACCAGTATCACTGTATCATATGGTATCATATGGCCAGTATCACTGTATCATATGGCCAGTATTACTGTATCATATGGCCAGTATTACTGTATCATATGACCAGTATTACTGTATCATATGACCAGTATCACTGTATCATATGACCAGTATTACTGTATCTCAGTATCACTGTATCATATGACCAGTATGGCCAGTATTACTGTATCATATGGCCAGTATTACTGTATCATATGGCCAGTATTACTGTATCATATGACCAGTATTACTGTATCATATGACCAGTATTACTGTATCATATGACCAGTATTACTGTATCATATGGCCAGTATTACTGTATCATATGGCCAGTAATACTGTATCATATGACCAGTATTACTGTATCATATGACCAGTATCACTGTATCATATGGCCAGTATCACTGTATCATATGGCCAGTATCACTGTATCATATGGCCAGTATTACTGTATCATATGGCCAGTAATACTGTATCATATGACCAGTATCACTGTATCATATGACCAGTATTACTGTATCATACGGCCAGTATTACTGTATCATATGGACGATATCATCTTTGTATATATAGGATACTGATATGATATCATTTTCAAACTGACCCGTGAAGATCCTGGTCAGAATATTGGCCTTCAGTAACCCATGCCTGTCGTAAGAGGCGACTAACGGGATCGGGTGGTCAGGCTCGATGTCTTGGTCGACACATGTCATCGCTTCCCAGTTGCGCAGATCGATGCTCATGCTGTTGATTACTGGATTGTCTGGTCCAGGCTCAATTATTTACAGACCGCAGCCATTTAGCGGGAGTGCAGCGTAAAACTCAACTCACTCACTCACTCATATTCAAACTGAACTGATCTTTGCTACTTTCAGGCCGGCATTAGAAGAACAAATACATTTGTAATGCAAGTACAGGTACAAGGAGAAGATACGATCACCCGTAGTGCATGATGAGTGTGTGCCACCACGAGGACAACACGTGGACCAGATGTGATAGCATGTGTACAAGCCACTGGCAGATTACCACCTCGTAATGTCCACACACGGCTGGACAAAAGTAAAACAGCATGAATATGAATTATATCAAGCCTTCATTAATAGCAGCGGTAATGACGGAATGGCTATGACGTGTTGTTTGACTGTGACGTCAGAACTCGCTTACTCGCTCACTCACTTATTCATTTACTCACTCACTCTCCCATCTACTCACTCACTCAAATGCTTGCAGCAAGCAGGTGCCCGGCCGTAAAGCTGGTAGAGTACGGTATTTTTATACCACAGTAACAGTCTGCGCGGAGAGATATGCAGGTTGGTGGCCTCGCCATTATTGACACTGGGTTATCTACACACAGCACTCAACCGTACACTGGACGTGGAGACGATAAATATGCAATAACCGGGTTCGAACTGATAAGGAACAAATACATTTCCGGATCACGAAACATTTCCTTTCACTTAAATACCGCCCAGGACCCTGCTGTCTGGTTAAAAGGAGCTCCACTGTTTGGAAAGCCAAATGCATTGTAAGTGACGCGCATCGATGGATTAACGAGATTCTCATTGTCTCCTTTTGAGCGTTAGAGTGTCTACTCCGATTTGAGCGAAATAATATGGACTGGTATAGTTTAATGTTTTCTATGTTTGTTATTAAAAACCAGATTCTGCAATGTTAGTATGACGGCAATCTGTAAATATAGTGACTGCATTGTGCGAAGCTCATTTCTCGTGTCCCCCCCTACGTGATAATGCTGGAACAGTGCCGAAATCCACACTCAATAGCATTACGGCCCGGGGCATTCAACATTACGCGACCCGTGAAGATCCGAGTTAGAATTGATCTTCAGTAACCCATGCATGTCGTAAGAGACCATTAACAGGATAGGGTGGTCAGGCTCACTGACTTGGTTGACACATGTCATCGTATCCCAGTTGCGTAGA